TTGGAAAAGAAGGATTGGTCTTAAGTATTATGTGTCGAAGGACATTTTATGACTTAGTCTGTGTTCCATTCCTTAGCTGTAAACGCAAACCGAGTAATGCATGTGGATAGGAGCGGGAATCATTAGTACAGCACTCCTACCTGCCATGTTCTGAACAGCCATGTGGCTAATTTGCAAGACAGATATGCAAAGGAAAGAGAAATCGGAGAGAGAGAAAGCAGAGTAAAAGTGATAGAAAACTGAGGAAACGTTATCGATAGTCCTCAGAATCGCTTTTCATTCTTCGATACATCAAAAATCACAACTAGCCCAATGGATGGCTATACAGAAAGTTTCAAAAATGCGGTCCTATTTTTTTTCCCGTACAAAATTGTACTATAAATGTGCCATCACTACGAGGCATACATTGATAGTGCGAGTGTATTCGAACATTACTGTGAGACTTACATTTTGAGGGCACGCATTGAGAACGATTTCAAGTCCGTTGGTGGCGTTGGCAGCTTCTCGGTCACTTCGTAACGGTGCACCGATGGAATTGGTGGCGTGACCGGCCGAGTGGTGGAATCGTCCGTTGCTCCGGCTTCACTTCCTTTATTGCTAGCCTTCAATGAAGAAAGAAATCCCGTACGTTGTAGTTTGGCAAGAAGAACTTTCACATCAACTGTTGGTGCAGCTGGCTGTTGCTGCTGCTGTTGTTGTTGCTGCTCAGCCACACTTGGGGCTGAAAAAAAACACAATATTACGAAGTACCACAGTAGTAATGAATTTTAAAAAATATTCAAATAACAACGAAGCTCTGGACAGCACGTGATATTTCTAAACAATATTACAAAACCGATAAAATTCTCGTTTTTCTGCCATGATAAGAATGAAATGAGATGATTAGCTCAAGCAGCTACGAAATTTAGGAAAGTATAGGAGAGTGGGAAAAGGGGTGGGGGTGAATAAATCTGTATACACCAGAATATGCACACAAATTGTCAAAAAAAAGATGAAAATTCAGAAAATAAAAACACTTAGAATTTTA